ATTATAAATATGGAAAACTAAATAAATAAATCAAGTATATGGGCGTTCTTTTAATAAGTTTATGTAAGTACAGAGACCTTCATTTTCTTGAAAAACAGTCAGTAAAGCTTGGCTTCTATCTATAACTATCTATTCTACCTATCCCCAACATGACAGATATATTAAGACTGGAATTCCCAGTATTCTAAGACAGCAGGTCTTCTGACCCTGCAAGAAAACAATATTGTGAGCTGCAGTCTCAGTGTCTCCGAAGAACACCTTGATAGAAATAATTAAGCAGAAATGACTGTATCTTTATTAGAAATTCCGAACAAGCTAGTTTACATCATTAAAATGTAAAATTACAGAGATTGAGGAATTGGAAAACCCAGCTATCCAGATAGATAAATGTGTCTTCTAAGATGGAACAAGTTTTTACACATTTTCTTTCTAGTGAATGGAACTGTGAAGGAGGAGCCTTTAACCAGCAAGACAGTAGAAGAGATTGCAGATATCGTCCAAAAGATGGCCAACCAGTCTGGCCTAGAAATTATTCGTATCCGAAAACCTTACCATACAGATAACCCCAGTATCCAAGGCCAGTGGCATCCTTTCACAAATAAGCCCAGTGTGCTCAATGTGCAAACCATAGGAGCCAGACTCCAATCACTGGAAAAATAAAGCTACGCTGTATAGCTTATGAACATGAGGATCTCCTGCATGCAAGAAATCTTTATTTGCTTCCTTCCTTACCTAAGGGAAGTGACTGACTTGTGGCTGCAAAATGAACTATTTCTAAGTAAATTCTACTATTGGGCAGTTCTAGACCTGCATGGATATGCTAGTAGCCTTCTTCCCATTGTACTTTGCAGTTTAATTCTTACTGAAAATAAAGGATGAAACCTAACTTACACTGGCTCATCATTTCTTTAGACCAGAGATGGGAAGCTTGCAGTCCATGGGACCTTTCTTCCCTACTTAACAGTTAATTTTAAGATACAGGTAGGCTTATTGCGAGGGGTTCATGGTTCCAAAAAAGGAAATCATCCTGTTTTGAACACTCACTCTTTTCCAGATTTCTCAGATTGAAGTATATCTTTTATGAACTCCAATTAACAGACCAACTGTGTCTTTTCCTGAAGAAAATGACTGTAAGTGTATATACCAGTAACTCCTAGGCCTGATTCATGTAACACATTATGCATGAGGCTGTCTTTTTGCATGGTTTAGAAAATAGTACTCAAGAGTCTAGAAAGTCTGAAAAGATTCAAAGAATGTATTTGGGCTAAACATTTTGCACTGACTACCAATTTGTTTCCAGGTGAAATACACAGTGCTGCTTAATATTTTTAAAACCAAGTATAATTTCAACTAGGCTATTAGAAGCCTAAATGGACTTAACATGGGAAGAGGAGTCATTGCTAGATAAATACATATATGTAAATCCCTTTTTTATTTTTAGAAATAACTAAAGGTGATGAACATAACCCACATAACATTCCTCCTCCTATTTTCCCCACAACAATCCTGTGAAGTGGGCTGAGAGTGACCGGCCCAAAGTCACTCAGCTGGCTTTCAAGACTAAAGTAGAACTGAACTCACACATTTGTGAGGGTTCAATATACACTTGCTTCAATATACTGTATATCTTGGTGTTGCAATCAACAATTGTAGCATCAATTTGAGCATAATATTCAGTTGGTGAAACAAACTCCCACATATTTGTATTGTTGGCCCCAATTTATTCAGATTATTTAGTGAATTTTCTATTGAACAATTTGCCCTTTAAGAAATTATCAATATGTTTACTAAGGAAAATGTCAGAATAGGGTTTATGTCAAAGCCACTATTATTTGTTCTTTTCTTAAAGGCTGACATGTATTATCAAACCTAAATTAGTCAAAACCTTTTTATAATTTTTTTTAAAAAGTATCAGTGTGATTACAGAAACATGAAATGTACAGACTTCTATATTTGTTACATCTTTTAGATGCCGGATAACCTCTCAGTTCTCTACTAGATCAAGTGATGGTCTGTGGTTGGCATCAGATTTTCACTGTGGTGAGCAGGACTGACTAATTCCAAAAGGATTTCTTGAAATGCTTAGTTGAGTAAATGCAGATCCCCCCTTTTATAAGGGGACAAAAATTCCTCACTATCCAGAGAACCTGAGTAGATTGTGAGGTTGGAGTGAGGTGAACTTCAAGGCTAGAGATAGAAGAATGAAAAGCAATGGGGAGGATCAGTAGGGTATATTAAAGATATCAAAATATCAATATGCTTATATACAGTAAATCTATGACCTGGTACTTTAGAATACAATAGAGTTTGGTAGGCTTGTTTTGAAAGGATTATTGTCAATTTGAAAGAAGTACTTTTAAAGTACTTTAAGGGAAGAATTTAGTGGCCTGCTCATACAAGAAAGGAAGAAAGAGATGAAGTATTTTTATTTTTTTGTAAAAGAAAGGTATCAATACTTCCTGATTAAATTGCAGGGTGGTAACATATCCATTGCAGCTGCAACAGAAGTGAAAACATTTTGAAGCTTGCCATTTTTCCATCATGGAAACTACACTCAGGACAACTTTTGCTGTCAGTGTTTTGGATGCTCTTAAGACAGGGGTTTTCAAACTTGGCCCTTTAATGATTCTGGGAGTTGAAGTCCACAAGTCATAAAAGGGCCAAGTTTAAAGACCCCTGCTCTAAGATCTTCAAGCTGATTGTTAAAGTTTCATTCAGATGGTCTTTAACACAGTTGCAGTACAAAAATACCTTTGTATGGTCTTTAGCTGTACACATTTTCATTAAGTAACGTAACAGAAAAGTTTAATGTGGCCATAAATACCTTAAGCAATTTTTGAGTGATCTGAACAAAACAAGAGCTATTAATGAGTTTCTTAGAGATATCTTAAATATAGCTGAAGCAAGTAAATTACAGCATATATTGAAGTATCTACGTTCAAATGGTATGTAGAAAAGACCATCAAAAACATGATTATCACAATAATGGTATTCTTAAATGCTCATATTGATGTCTTAGAAATCCTAACACCACCCTATATTAGGGCCCATATCTACGTACCATTAATTCCAGTGATCTGGAGTGAGAGAGATTATTTCCGATTCAGATTAGATTTGATCAAAATTGAAAATAAAATGTTCCTTTCTATCATTGAAGTAACTTTTTCATTAGCAAATTCTTCTTTTCTCACTCCATAATGTAGATCAGCGGTTCTCAACCTATGGGTCGCAACCCCATTTGGGGTCGATCGACCATTTCACGGGGGTCGCCAAGCAAGGCTGTCCGCCATTTTTTTTGTCCTCCATTTTTTTCCCCCTTTTCCAGCGGGTGCCTTACCTCCCTTGGGCTGGGCCAGCTGGTGGTTGGCCTGCTCCGTCTCTGCCGCTTGCCAGCTATGCCTCGGCCGGCGCAGGGGGCGGAACCACGCATGCGCGGTGCTCCCGGGCAGGGAAAGTCCTCGACTTACGACCAGTTGGGTAATCCTCGACTTAACCGGTTTAGTCCTCGACTTACGACCGGTTTAGTCCTCGACTTATGACCGGTTTAGTCCTCGACTTACGACCGGTTGGGGGTCGCGGCATTAAAAAGGTTGAGAACCACTGATGTAGATCCTCACTCATTCATATTAGAACAAAAGCAGCTCTAGATGACTTTTGGATAGTTTTGGGAAAGTCTTTCACATCCCTCCAAATGTGTTAGAATACAACCCCATATTTACAGCAAGTACAGGGAATGGTTTCTTGAGGCTTATAGCCAACACATTTAGAGTGTACCATGTTGTGGTGTCTTAGAAACTCTAAGGTGGCTGGAATATTGTGAAGGAGGAGACCCTTTGCTATAGCATTTGTTGGTGTCTATTTCTTTAGTGAAATTTTTATTGCAGTTCTAATTCATTGTCATGTTGAGAGTGAGATAGGTGGTACCTAAATGTGATCAATAAACAAAAATATTTCATCTTTTGTCAGTCTGATATATTTTTTTTTATCATTTTACTGATGACGATTTTGTAAACCACTTTGAGTCTCCATCAAGCAGAGCAACATATTAACCCAAGGAGATAAATAAAATATACTTCAGTGTTCTCATGCTCTATATTAGGCATAAGCAGCTTTGTCTCATAGAGTTTGGCAGATGTCACTCTTTCTCTCATTATACTAAATCCAATTGAGAAAATATTCTGTGTGATAGATTTTAGAAAAGATATGCCTTAATATCAAGATCTAACCATCTATTCTTGCACCCCACTAAATTCAAAATTTACACATTTTTCTATGAAAGAGATCTATTTCAGAGAAGGAATAAAAGAAGCTTTCCACTTTGAAGGAAACAGAAGAAAGTTCATATAGATAAGTAAAAAAGTACTGTAACCCAAATTTATCTGGGTAGCTCTGAGACAAATGATGACAAATGAATTCTGACCTTTTACTCTGTCTTAAAAAGGTGGCATTCAAAACTTGTAAGTTAACCTTTAATGGGCATAAAGTTTGTTTAAATGTACTTTATGGCCACTAGAATTTAAATGCCAGGCTTTGTAGCATAATTCCCCAGTTGCTATTGTCTGGGAGCGCCCTACAGCCCTCTAGATGTAGCTGAATTACAATACTCAGTATTTCTCTTTCCCGGCCTTGTGGGCTAGTCCACTGAGAGAAAGATCAGAGATGACCTATTCATTCACTATGCTGACTCTGGCCAACAACTATGAATATAAACTCTGTGTGCAAAATATAGAACAAAACAATAATGCCTAAAGTTATTCATGGTAAATCACATTTAAGGAGGATTTCTCCATCACCATTCATGATCACAATTCACCTTAAGAACAATTTAAATGCAGTTCTCACATTAAAAAAATTTGTATCAAAGTTTTGCTACCAACTTCTTAAAATCATAGTTAAGCCTTCATTTCTGGCAGGATTCTTGTTAGGAAATTAATGGCACTTTCAGAGATGCCTCATGATGGAAGGAAGTAGGAGACAACCAGACAAACCCAACACATCTCTGTGGCACCTGTTTATTGACCAGCCTTTTATATAAATATAATTCCCATTTAAACAGATTTCTTTGTTTACAGCAATTGAAAAACAAAACAATCAACAGCAGCAACAACAAAAAAGACAATAACAAGATAAAAGAAATGAGTGCGGAGTCTATGGCGACTCCGGAGGGCCGCTCCGGAGGTAGTTGCTGAGTCCTAACACTGGTTCTTTTGGCCTGAGGGAGCGGAATTGTGCAGTGGCAAGAGAGAATAGTTCAGCACATGGACTCTCTTCCCCCCCTTTACACAGAGCTCTCATCCAGTTTTTCTACCAGCTGGGTGTGTTTCCGCTTCTCCAGAATTTTGCTCAGCTCCTCAGTGAAAGAGTTGTACAGCGGTGAAGTACATGGCTCCTCGTTCTGTCGCAGGAGCATGTAGCTGTTGCCATTCATTTTGCGCAGCATGTTGGGTAATGTTGAAATGCCATTGGTGAACTCAGCAGGGAGAGGGGGAGGGGGAGGAGGGAGAGCCAGAGGTGTCACTTTGGGTGACAGTGACAAGGTAGGGGCTTCTCCGGGGATGATCTGAAGGCAGCCATCTGGATAGGTGCTCAGCTCCTCTTCATCCTGCCTTCCTTTGCTCAGGCAATTTGAAGAAACAGTCTGCAGTTCTACACTTGATGGTTGGGGACCCCCCAGTTGATATTTGCCTCTACGACTCTGCAAGGAGCAGATATAGGAAAGCACAACAATGAGCACGAAGCATAATCCACTCAGCACTGTGATGATCATAATGTAGATAAAGTTCATGTTCCCAGCATCATCTCTGGCCAAATGCCAAGACGGGAGAGCTGGAGTGCTGGGATGCTGTGGCCCCAGTTCTTTGGGCAGCACAGTTAGAGCGTAGGTAGCTACCAAGGCCTGCAGACCATTCTCCTCAGCGTAGCACTGGTATTCCCCACTATATTCAAGCTGTGTGTCTGTCACCAACAATCCATCTACGCCTAAGCGGAAGTGTCCTTGCCCATCCTCGGCAAGCACTTTGGTGCCATTCACCCTCCAAGTCGCCCGTGCCAAGTTGGATGTCTGTTCGCAAGGTAAGAGCACATCACCACCACGCTGCACTGTCCGGTTCTTCTGCACAAGCATAGCTGTAAGAGACACAATAACAGACAAGGGCTCTCTCACTACCCAACTTCTGTTATAATAATTCAAGTGTCAGCACACAGTGTCACTTTAATAGTAGGGAAGAGGGGCTTGGGACTCTCAATCTGAAGGAAGTAAGATTCCAAGTGCTCAGGTAAGAATGAAAACTTCAAAACTCTGAAAATACGGTTTAAAAACAAATTAACCAAGTGCTTTGCCTTTTTAGGAAAGAAAAGACAATCTGGGAACAGAATTTGCAGAGATCCAGATATTTAAGCTCAGGTCAGGAATTATCACAACTGCTTCATCCAAGACCTCGTTCCATTGGCTGGGTCGGTCTATGCCCATGAGTCTAAGCAACTTGCTATTTTTATCTTCTATCACATCACTGAACTTGCTTGCAGGATCCAGGAAATTATTTTCGAAAGCAGAAAAAACTCATAAAGCTAAAAACTATATGCAGATTGCCTTAATAATGTAGCTACAATTTGTGCATGGATAAATTGGGCTTTTGTGTTTATTTTATTATTGCACAAATATTTATACTGTTTATATTTGATTATCTATGAATACTAAGTCTGCAAAGGGAGAAGAGAAGGAATTCTTTCTGTCCAAAAGAATTAGGAAGCAGTTGATCTCTTCTGGAGGATTTTTCTTTCAACTACTAGGAAGGAGAGGGGACCAAGGAGGGAACAGACTGACCACCTTACCCTGCACAGAATCATTCCAGCAGCCCATGTTGCCATGCAGCACATCCTGAATCAGCAGAGACCTGGTGAAAATAAGCAGGACTCTGATCAGCTGGGAAACACAGCAGCTAGAAGATATTTAATCTCTGCAATAGTCAGCAAATTTCACATGAAATTTCTTTGGCATGTATGCAGATTCTTTAATACATACTTATATAAATACTCGCTTGCTCAGCACTTCAATATGCACAATAAGAAAACCAATATTTCTTATTTCATCTCAAAGTGTAATATATAATCTATAGAGATCTAAATATTCAGAAAGCACATAATAATAGCATAAAATAACTCTTCAGAGCTTAGACGAAGCTAAGATTTTCTACATGAGATACTGATTCTCAGGAATGCATTATCTGGGGAGACCTAAACTGAACCTAACCTCACAATATTTTTATAAAGAAATAGATAAGAGATATTTATTTAAAGAGGTATATAAATGTTTAATGAGTAGCTGCCTTACATTTTTGATCTTTAATTTTTGCAAATTTTTAATATGCTTTGTATAGTAACAGGAGTACTCTATAGCTGAAATTGGGTTGGTGTGCTCCAGGTTCCACTGATTAAACAATGACACTTATCAGAGCCAGAAGTGTATCTTTTCTATAGCCACACCTGCCCTCTAGAATGAGGTTCTCCTCCCCTCCCCCCCAAAAAAATTCAAACAACTCCAATCCTATTGGTATTTCAAAATGGCTTCAAGACCTGGCCTTTTGCCCAGATCTTTGGAGAAGACAACTAAAGCTCCTTTTTGTTCCCTTCTGGGTTTGTTTTCTTTGCTATCATTGTTCTTTTGTCTTGTGTAGTTTTTGCAGGTTTTTTTATTGTTTGTGTAAACTACTCAGAATCACTGGGAGATGGGCAGCCTATAAATTTAATTAATATACCATCAAACAACAACATCTACCTATCTCAGGTCCTTGGGAAGAACTCGATAGATGGATAAAAATGCCAAATCTGGTCTGAATATCTGACTGACTCTGTGACCAACCATAATAATAAATATGTTTTTACTTTTTTTCAACTATGTCCTTTACTGTTGTTGCTTGGAAATTACAACCGGCTCTCAATACGATAAACCTAATCCAAGTTTTAAGAAACACCAAAGCAAGAGAATTCTACTGGATGCCCTCTTTTGAATGAAATGGACAGAGAAGACCTAATGTGACTCTAGTGATCTAATAAATAGGATGTCTACAGAAGCTGCAGCACATCCTCAAAAAATAACCTGACCTCAGTAATAGGAAGCCTGAACCCACATGTTCTTCTTCACAATCAACATTTTCATACCTGTTCAGAACATCAGCTACTTCTTGGCACCTCTTGCCATCCCAGGCACAATATGGATCTCGAGCCAGGATGCAACTGAAGCAGGTGATATATTGCGAACAAGTGGACAGTGGTAACTGCAAGACGCCACTCTGGGCCCCAACGTATACGTTCCTCTGCAAAAGAAAGATGCTTAGCACCGATTCTGCATACTATTCTTGGTGAATGAGTTTGTCATGTTTTCCCCATCCTACCCTAAGGCAGGGTATGTTATTTTGCCAAATCACAGATGAATAGCAACTTAAGGTGCAGCAACAAAGATGATTAGGGGACTGGAGGCTAAAACATATAAGGAACGGTTGCTGGAATTGGGTATGTCTAGTTTAACGAAGAGAAGGATGACGGGGGACATGATAGCAGTGTTCCAATATCTCAGGGGCTGCCACAAAGAAGAGGGAGTCAAGCTATTCTCCAAGGCGCCTGAAGGCAGGACGAGAAGCAATGGGTGGAAACTGATCAAGGAGAGAAGCAACTTAGAACTAAGGAGAAACTTCCTGACAGATAGAACAATTAACCAATGGAACAACCTGCCTCCAGAAGTGGTGAATGCTCCAACACTGGAAGTTTTTAAGAAGAGACTGGACAGCCATTTGTCTGAAATGGTGTAGGGTTCCTGCCTGGGCAGGGGGTTGGACTTGATGACCTCCAAGGTCCCTTCCAACTTTATTATTATTATTATTATTATTATTATTATTATTATTATTATTATTATTATTATTATTATTATTATTATTATTATTAGACCTGTCTCAAGACATGAAAGAATAGAAATGTTAAGACATGGACAGGACTCTTTAACCACTGAAACCTTCACTGACACTCACTAGGATAACACAAAGAGAGCTTTCTGATGGAGTGTCAAAGCAAGAGCATCCAATGGGGAATTCAGATTTTGGCTTGGCCTATGTACGTGCCGATGCTATGCTACTTGAATAAAGATTCTTTAAGGTAACCAATGCCTCGAAGTTCTTTGAAGAGTTTCATCTGTCGGAACCACGACATGGAGCTTCTGTCATGCAATTACCCAGGCTCATTCACAAAAATGTACAAGAAGTTCAGATAACCCAACTGACTTTTTTCCCCAGTGCTCCAGCCTGTTTTTATTTCTACAAAACCTTTTTAAATGTTTTATTAGTTCAATTAAAGAAGCAGTAGCTGTGTTTTCACCAGCTTGGTTAAGGTAATACTTGTTCAAGTTTTTAATGAGCTAGTTCAATAACCAGATTAAGCATGTGAATGGAATCAACAGATGCTCAACTATTTTTTTTTGTTGATGTACTAGTACTACAATCTGGAAGCACCCTTAATATTCTAACCACATATTCTTCCCATCTAGGGAGATAAAGGAATGGAATTAGATGGCCATTATTAGGTGATGTAAAGAGGAAAAAGTAAAAGAAAATTGAAGTGTGACCCTGTTTCCATAATAAAAAGAGTTCAGTTAGCTACTCACTTAGTCAGATCTTTTTTACTCGAGCTTTTGTAAATAGTGATGCTATTTGAACTAAAAGTATCTATTTGGTGAATACAAAATACCTGCCAAGAAATCAACAGTATTCCATCAGTCCCTGCACCTGAAGAATTTTAGCATTATTTTACTATCTAATTTGTCCTTCCCATCAGCCACGCAGAAGGAATTAGGTATATTTGGGTTGCTGCAATTTATCATTGTCTGAGATATGGTATATTATTATGTGCTGCCAGGCCTTGGCAGTGGCACCATAATGCAGAGGCTTGCTTTTTCAGCCACTCTTTCCTTTTCAACTCATGTCCCTGGAGAACCAGGGAGGCAAAACGGGGCAACTAATTTTATTTTGATATTCCTATGGTTCAGCTGGGTGGAATTAGTTTAGGCAAGGTTTAATTAGTTTGGTGGTCTATTTAAACCCCCCCCCCAGTGGTTAGTTGAATCAGTCAACTGATCCTTCTTTGTTGTTTCCATAACAAACATCCATGAATCTAGTTAAACATGTGGAAGCAAAACCAATGGTTGTGTTCATATTACACATAAGGCACAAACTAGGCAAGCACTTTTTGTCTTAGCATATGATACAAAGTCAGCCTCTATCAATATTGTGTCATGGGAACCCATGCAATATGGGTTAATGAAATAAATCAAGGTTATTCTTGGTTAGGTATGCTATATGAACAAATGATATGAACATTATCTACCAATAGTGGTCATTTACCAATGGTTCTGCTTTTGATCTCTCTAATTTATCCTCTATCCTTCTCTTTCCATCAACAGAATACTTCTCTCTCAGAATAATATTTTGTGTTTCTGCTAAGGAGGATTATGATCCAGAAAAGATAGACTCTTTGTTATCTTGACTGCAACGTCAGGGTTTTCCAGCAGAGGGAAGCAATGAAATAGAATACAATACTGGCATTATCCATGCAGCCATTTATTCCATATTTATTTATTATTCATTCAACATTTATTCAAGAGTATTATTTTCTCAAGCCTATTTCCTAATATGAAGTGGGTCTCCAATAGCAACCTTCATATCAAAACATCTGGGAATAGACACTTTCTCTTTAATGTAAGACAGGCAAAAAAGAAAAAGAAAAAGAAAAACCAACGGTCTCCCTCCTTGCATCCTGCTTACATTTTCCTCCTAGCAAACAAAAGGATTGCTTTTGCTTTTGCTCATATCAAAGTGACATGAGCAACAGACACAGGAGCAGATTCAGTTGAACTTAGAAATATTCTGCCCAAACAAATAGCTGAAGAGCACACCCCAGGTATATCAGACCTTTGCTAAAAAAAAAACCTCCAAATGACCACTAGATGATAGCAAAGATATAGAGAAAATTCCATTCTAGTTTCTAGTTTCCACTGGATTTTTGCAGGTCAGCTATGTTATGCTTACAAGACTAATAACTTAAGTTTTAAAATAGCCTATCCAATATCCTCCAGCTGCGTTGTACGCCAACTCTTCATACCCATGCTGAATGAATGTAAGAGTAATCCAGTTCACGGACAGAGAACCAGTTTCTCACATAGGCCATAAATCAATTGTAGCATTTAGAGCAGGGGTGGGGAACCATGGCCCTTTTATGACTTGTAGACTTTAACTCCCAGAATTCCTGAGTCAGCCTCACCCCTGATCTAGAGTTTAGAATAAACTTGGGATAAAGCTGAAACAGAGTCCGTGCTTTTTTGCCTGATAGGAACAGAGAAATTCAACAGGAGAAATGCTAATGTGTTGACTTCCTAACTAATGCTCCTATGTTGATTTCTTTTCCAACAGTTATTAAAGCATCTAATGAAAAATGTCAAATTAAAAAAACAACAGCCAGGCTTGAAAGCTCTAGGGGACATTTGGGACCTTGGAAAGACACTATGCAAAGTGGGAAGCAAATATCCTCACAAAGGAACTAGAATAGTTAAGCTCCAAACAGTTGTCAAAGGACAGCCACATGATTAGTCCTTGAACAAGTGGTAGTTACTACACTGGGTGGATTAAATAGCTAACAGAAAAGACAAAAACAGCTCAAAGCATTTATTTTTTTTACCTAGCAGTGGCATCACCACTAATAAAACCTTCATCCACACCATGTTTCCACTACTGTAGTTGTATTTTTATTCCTTTATTTCTTTTATTTTATGATAAGGCAAGGCTCGGGGAAAAGCCTAACTTTGTTTCAAGCTATACATTATGTTTTAATGCTAGTGGCAGACAGAAAATATATCTGGATGCTGGATGATTCATTTTTATTTCTCAGTTGTATAATGATAACAACAGAATGGCTTTTTTCTGCCTCAATTACACAAGAGAAATAAAGGAAGTTCAAGGTTACCATGAATGGACTACTGCTGGAAGGAATTCAGTTAAGAGGCTGAAAATAAACTGTAACAAAGTCTAAAATATTCATCGTTTTAAAAATTCAGTACATTTTGCTCTCGGGTCTAATTAGTGAGCCTTGGAATTCATTTAATAATGAAAAGTAAGCTTAAATCGTTTTAAAAAATAAATTAAAAGAGAAATAAAGCAAGTTAGAAAATCATTCTTAAAAATGAAATGGTAAAATATCTCTATCAGTTATTTTATCTTCCAACCTGTTGTGGACATGGAGACCAACTAAAGAGAAACTAGGCAAAAAATGGTAATACATTCAGATTGTCTTGGTTTGAGTCTTAAATTTGGATACAACTATTCAAATTAGTTTGTTATTTTTGTAATGCATGACTTTTCACTGGGACAAGTGTAATTTAAAGTGCTGTATTTAACAGTATTGGGGGAAGGTCCACAACTGCTTATACCTGTTGCTTGGAAATAACGATGCTCTCTACAGGCTGGGGGTTCTTGAAGGCCTGCATCTCCTCTGTGATATGGACCGTGGAGCCAATGACGACAGCCTTGTGAATCCATCCGTTACCTATTCAGAGATAGTTAATTATTTAAAGGAGCAACAAGAAGAATTAACTTTACAATCTCATTATTAAGAAGACCCTGTTGTAGGACATGGTTGCATCCTGCTCCTGATTAGGAAATGAGATATCTATCCAATTCCATATTGAAATGGAGCAAATGTACACTTTAACAATGTAGATCTAGTCTGTTCCTAAATCTGTATCATCAGAATACCTTGGCACTGAAATTCTAAGAATTGAAGACTTCTGAAGGAAATCAGATTCAAGTGGTCATTTATACCGTAGCAACCACTACAAATCAAAGATTGGCCTGGCCCTCCCATTCTGACTACTGAGAATTGTATTTCTGAATTAAGAGCATTCTAAATACTACCCCGAACTGTGGGTCCATGATGTCACCCTTTCTAGAACAAAATTCCCATTCCTCTTTATGGATTAAATTTGTGTCTCTTCTTAATCAAGAACTATTGAGTTTAAGATATAGGGAAATGTTCACAAAACAGACAGCTTATCTGAGCAGGGGAAGTTGAAAACAAAGAAGGTTGAATTCTTTGTTTGCAGGGAAGGGATGGATGTGCCCCCCCGGAAGCAATGCAAAGGGAAGTATAAGGAAAAATACAGCACGTATATCAATCAAAACTGCATGATACTGAAATAGCTTAGTTTTAGGGAAGCCAAATTCTGTTTTATAAAGAAATAGAGCTTTGGAAAACTTATAAGAAAAAAGCAAATTATGATTAGTCTTCCTTGCATATAGTTAAGAAAGGAGCTAACAATTAAAAGTTTCTTGAGTTGTTAGAGTGCACACAAACATACATACATGCACGATGAATTTAACTGCAATTACCTGTTCCCAAAAAGAGGACATCATACATGTGCCCATCCAGGGCTTGGACTCGGTCTACTGCAACTTGGGTGTAGACCACATTTTTCTTTATTAGCAGAGGCACTCTATCTGTAGGTTTCACCTCGTCATACATCAGTGGATGAAGCTTGATAAAATCCAGCACACCATTGGGTAGATCCTGGGAGGAGTTGTAGCCTTTTTTGCGAGCACGATTGGTAATGCACTGCAGAGAGGAAACTGTTATAATTGGCCTCACCAGATCCAAAGCCTAACGTTCCTTTCTTTAACTTGGCTCCTTCCAGATATGTTTTACTCCAGTTCCCATCATTATGAATTAGAAATGTTGGGAGCATAATCCAAAACAACTGGAGGAATTAAGCTTTCAAAGGGTTACACAAAGAACTAAACTACTAAAGCAGGGCTTTTCAACCAGTGGTACGGGTACCACCTGTGGTACATTGGCACCTGGCAGGTGGTACGCGACCGTCCTAGAAAAGTGGTAGCGGGGGAGGGGAATGAGCTGAACCGGTGGCAGCACCGCACAAGCCTGAGCAAGAGATGGCTGGAGCTGCAGGGCAGTCAGGGCTCAGCGGAAGTGTCAGAATCAGTGCTTCTTCGGGGCTGTCAGGGCTCGTTGGAAGCGCCAGGATCAGCGCCAGGCTCCAGCTGGAGCTCGGCGCTGATCCTGGTGCTTCTGCTGAGCCCAGAAGAAGCGCCAATCCACTGGAATGTTGCAGCATCTCCAGGGTCTTGTGATTTACATTCAGATGCTTGGCAACTGATTCATATTTATGATGGTCACAGTGTCCCAGGGTCATGTGAAATGACCAAAACTTGCTGCAACCACCCAGCAGACGGGGGGAATAAAAACCAAACACCCCCACCCCACCCCCACTGCCAATCCTCAACAGAAATGCTCACAACAATGAAAACCTCGGACAGGAGGAAGAGCGCCACCGGGTGAGCAGGCAGGTGTCTTGCTTGGCTGTGGCTTGGGGGGGGCACTTTTTTCAGTGCTATTGTAACTTCGAACAGTCACTAAGCGAACTGTTGTAAGTCGAGGACTACCTGTACTTTATCACTTTTTCCCTTTTTTTTGGTCATCAAGTTTTTGACACCTTGGTAGGAGACTCGTGGTACTTGGATATTGCCATATCCTAAAAGTGGTACAATGGGTGAAAAGGTTGAAAAGCCCTGAAGTAAAGCATTCAAATTAAAGCCTTCTGAAGGACTTGCACACCTTAAACCTGCAGCAAAGGTTTAGATGTATTCCCATATAATTTCCTCATATACTCAACCTACCCCTTTTGATCATTTACCAACAGTAAAAAAAAAAAGCATAACTCCTCGTAAAATATCCCAGAGAGTTCCTATGTTTATTTCACCCCAGATCGTTGGATCTCTTATGACAAGGGAACACATGTAACTCCTGTATAAAGATGAAGATAAGATACAGATGAATATAACTCACTGATCCTGGCCGTGGCTCTGGTACATCCCCAGTGTATTGGGACCACTTGCGGGAGGAGTCTTGGTATTCCATGAATTTCCCTTCAAAAGCTTCCCGTACTTCTGAGATGTTGTATCGGCAAACAGCAGAAACCTGTATGCTCCTCCTGAAAAATATAGGAAAATGGTGGGAAGGTCTAAATTTCATGGATCTAACCATCAGTCACAAGGTAGGTAAATTTAATTTCTGTGAAGGATTACATTCCCTTAGGACTGACATGCAACCTTTTTGCAGTCAAACAATTGGTTTTCTTCATTTTTATATTTGTTTGACTTCCAAGAAATTGTCACCAGCATTACAGCAAGTTACAAAGAGGTTTTGAGGCAACTTCTGTGGCAGAGGATGTCAGTAATCTGAAAAGTTATCAATAGCACCAAACACAATCAGGCAACTGCCAGGGTCTTAAAATACCAACAAGATTTTGTTACTTACACTATTGATGCCACTAAATTTCCCATAGTGTTTTGATATAAGTTGCCTTTTCATAATAGACCAAATCATGGCGTACTTAACAATATTTAATAAACCAATAGACTTTCATACAACATGATGAACTAAATAATTAATGGTTTACAAACCACAGAACATCTTTAATCTATCATTAATTATTGCTTTGATCAAACCCAGCTACAGTGTTGCTATGGGTTATAAGACATTAAAATAGCCAAACTGCTATTTTAACATCTTATAATTCATAGCAATATTGTCAGATTCTTTATGCTGTGTCCCATCATTGTTGCTAAACTGCCAGGAAACACTTCATCACAGGGTCTCTGAGGCTTGCCATTGATCTTGGTATGCTACCTTGATCTTATGAATGTCTAGTTTTAGAACATAGATTATACACCATGTTTTTAGGTGTACCATTCTTTGGAGCTGGATCAGTCTCTTTCACTTAGCTAGTCTTTTCACTTAATAACTGAATCTGATGACTTCTTGTCATAATCTAGGACATTATAAAGAATCTGAAGTTTCAACATTCCTTATCATGCTCTGAACAACAAAGCCACAATTTCTTTATATTCATGTTCATGTTTGCTGCCACTTCTTGGGTCAAAAGAAGTGGCAGTGAATCTACTAGCCCATGGTTTGAATACAGTCTATTAGTCTTCCCTAAGGCCTAAGATAAGGGAACAGGAAAGAAGCAGTAGCAGAGGATGATGAAAACTTGGAATCTTAACATAGAAGTATCAGGCTAAGGACTCATTTCACTCAGCTATCTGTATCATACTGTAACTAGTTTCATTCGAGAAACTCATAAATATGAACAAGAGTGTGATAACCATTTTTTCACTCTTGCTCTCTAGAGTTGGAATTCTGCTTGCACCTGAAATTATGGAACTAGCAAGCAGTCACTAAGATTAATTGCCACTGGTAGTCCCTCAAAATTGTCTAGTCTTCTTTAAAAAAATTCTAAATTCTTTGGGCCATCCTGTTATCTAACAGTAAATTTGCAATTCAACTACACTGATCCATGGGGTGGGGGGGAAACAACTGAAGGTCTACAAGAGTGATATGATTTATTTTTGAAGATAAAAGGAAATCTTATAAATTTGAAAGGATTACACCAAATACATCTTGTACATTCCAAATGCTTCTTTGAAATCAATGGCATGGGCCATTTATCTATATAAATAAAAATGTAAATGTTCGTTTGTTCAAAATCTTAAATCTCTGAAAGTTTTTCACCGATTGCGTTGAAATTTTGAAACAACGTTGCATTCGAATACGCGTGTGTTTTTATATACCTACTATTATATAGATGTCACACCTGTGACAGGGAGAGAGAGAGAGAGAGAGAGAGAGAGAGAGAGAGAGAGAGAGAGAGAGAGACAAGAAAGAAAGCGATGTTTAAAAGAAATCAGGCGGTGGTCTCGCCACCCTGTGTCTCAATTTTAGCAGAATATGTGCAGGGGGGACAAGCATTGTGAAATTAAACATATTAGAAACGTGCGCTTTCTCTTTTCTTTCTTTTCCATTTAACCAGACTGAGCCACAGCAACGCGTGGCCGGGTACAGCTAGTTAATAAATATATTTGATATGCAGTCCCTTCACAATGGGGATGTAGCTTCCTGGGTGGCATTTGCTATAAATGCAGACTTCAAAGCTGACAAATATTACAAAAGCACAAAGGTGCTAATTATCTCAGGAGAACTTGTAAAAATTCACAGTATCATTAAGAGAAACATGCAAAAAACTGGCCTGGGCTTAGTTCAAACATACCGAAGAAAAAGAAACATGCAGCTGTGGTTGTAGTTGCAGGCCATATGGTAAACTGCAGTCCTTGTCCCTAGTTATACCAAAGTGATCTTGTCAAAATATTGGTGTGATTCTCCTTCCTATCACTACCACCTTCTGCATATGCAGTAGTATTAATCTATACCACAGCTAGCCACCCAGAAGTCTTTCTTTCATAAAATGTCCACAGTAATTCTGGCTAGTTTTTGTACCAATTACAAACCAAAACATTTATAAGAACAGATGACAGTACTGGTAATCACAACCAAGAAGTCTTTTGTGTTCCATTTATCCACCACAGCTGTTCGTGGAATGAGGACTGAGTATAGTTAAAGAATCTGCCTGTCTTGGCCAATATAAAATGCCGAGGGTGACCAGTGCTAGAAGAAGAAGGATCCTGCTGCGACAGTATTTAAGAAAAAAAGGTTCAAGAAGTATCTGAAGGCAAGAGGAGTTACCTCAAGAGCTCCTAAAAAGATTAGGAATTCAATTGCCAATTTTTTCCCTAACAACTTCAGATTATTTTCTTAGTGGTTTAACGAGTTTGTAGAATAGTAGAACATATACAGCACACACTATCTAGAATTCTTTAAAAAATGGGTTGAATATCTGTTAGCTTGGAACTTAGACTGAACTAATTTATACCAGTTTGTGTAAACATTTCCTAGAACAGTGGTGGCGAACCTATGGCATGCGTGCCAGAGGTGGCACTCAGAGCCCTCTCTGTGGGCATGCACACTGCAGCCACTAGCAGCTCATGCAGGTCCATTAGGCTGCCGCCGCCCGGAGCAGCAGCCCCGCCCAGCACAAAGTAGGCAAAATGGCCAGCTAGCAAGCTCGAGTAGAGATCTTAGAGTATCGAGGTGGCCATGCCTACCTGGCCACACCCACCCAGTCTGCTGTGACCACCCTGGCCACGCCCATCCAGTGGGCCACACACCCTGCCCTCCCTGAGGGAACCACAATGCTGATGCGGCCCTGGCACTTTGCAATAAATAAGTGGGTTTTGGGTTGCGGTTTGGGCACTCAGTCTCTAAAAGGTTCACCATCACTGTCCTAGAACATTCAGGCAAATATGATCTATTTCTCTTGCTTGAGGACTTCACTACATTAATTGCTATACAGTAAAGAATGCAAGTTCTCCAGCAAAACAGGTAGATTAAAACTGCATCCAATACTCAGGGCCCATTGCATTTCCTGTCTAGTTTCTGTCCTGTTCCCTAAGCATTGCTAAGCATTCTGCTTGCCTTTTGGTAAAGCTGATGGATTACAAGATAAATGATAAAGTGTCATTTTTGACACATTCCAACATCTTTTTCCTGTACAATTATCTCAGAGGTAAGCAATATAGCACATGTGAGCACCACTGGGCCTTCACATACCTCTTTTGGTGTCTAACAGCTTTCCTCTTCCACTGACTTTAAAACAGAATGTTTTAATTTAAAATGAATATGTCAAAAACTGACACAGTGCAAAGCATATTTTTTCCAGCATTGCCTTTGTGTCTCATAAAAGTACACTGGATGTCTGAAGGCAACTTTTCAGATTAACAACATTTATTAAAAGGCATAAGCTTCTGTGAACAACTGATCCTTTCAACAGATATATGGAATGGCTGTAGTGGTGTAGGGTTAAAATTGAAATGAGACTGAGGAAAAAGAAAGAAGGAAGGAATCAAGGAGAATATGCAGATATGCAGAGAGATTATATATAAGACAGATTACAAGATGTTTATCAATTAACAACTGTAACAACAGTTTCAGGAGATTCTCTTCAGATAAAATGCCAGGAACCATAACAATAGGTTCATTGTTCTGCACATCCCACGTTCTCAAAATTCCAAATTTTCTCCAACCTTATAAACTGTCTGGGCCCAAAATTAACAAATTAACAAAATTCAACAGTATAAAAATGCTTGGCTCACCATTGGGCTGATAAGATGAATGTTGCATAGAAGACAGTGCTTGTCCAGTTACCACCATCCAGACTGGCAACATCTTTCAGTACTTCATAGTAAGGTATATAGCAGACCAGCCTTGCTTTCATAAAGGATGTCCATTTTCTCTGGAGAATCTTCTTGCCACCCAGATCATTCTGGAACAGAAGAAGAGAGCCAGGTTAAACAAACCCTTTCCTCAGCTTCATCTTTTTGACCAAATTAATGGGGATGACCAGAGGTGTCCATAGCCTCTATTTCATTTGCATAGTAGCCTGAACCAACCCTCCAAATGCTTTCATTAGTGCAAGTGTATATTCACAACAGACCATTTATTTTACCTTACACACTCGAGCTATTCGAGCTACTCTGGGCACCTGGGTCTTCTCAAATATGGATGTGCTCTCCTCTCCGGCACGTTCAGTGAAGAAATAGTAGATTTTGTCATCATCTCCCAAAGAGCTCCTTATGCTCTCCCTGACCAACACAGAAGCCACAAACTCTGCATCTGCAAGAGAAGGAGAAAGGTTAGCATGGTCTTTCAAAGAAAAGTGTCTAAGGCTGCTGCTGCTTACACAGGGCAGCTCAACAATTATGAGCCATGAGTCTTTCAAGGAAGTGAAGCAGGGGCTGTCTGTTCATACCTTGAATTTTCCAGAAGACAGCTCAAGTGGCTGGCTGTCATTTTCTGGAGAATGGAAGTAGGCTATGATTCAGAGATACAAAGGCTAACCCACGTAATTGCAAGATTGCTTTTACTATCTAGGAGGGTGAGGAATGAAAGACCTGAGCTATGGCTGTAGGACCTACCATTCAGCCAATGCAAGGGGGATTCCTCAGTCCTCAGAACCCGCTGGTGCCGGTTGCGTCGGATGTCTGGTAGGCTGCGGAATTCATAGCGTGTTGCTGTATATAAACTGCCATCTGGGAAACAAATGCAGCAAAAGCAATAAGAGCATGCTGATCCCAATAGATTTGTTCATTATATGATCAACCTTTTTTTTTTTTTTAATAAACTCTTCTCTACGTCTTCCAGATCTGTTAGAACTACTGGGGTATGCCAAGGACATGACAGTTTTAATATGGTTAGACGCAGAAGGATTTTTCAAGAAATAACCCAAGCTTTACTCACCCATGGCATTTCTATAATAAACAAGCAAGAAAATATATTTATATGCCCACCTCCAAGCAAGTCTGGTTGTTTACAAATTATTGAAAACATTTAAAAACAGAGGAAGGAAAACCAACCCTCTCTCCGCCAAGAATAAAGTTAGCACAAATGACAAAACTGGGAACAAATTTAAAAAAGAAGCTTCAATCACCCTCACAAGAATGGAGGTGTTTATATAACTCCCTGCCTGAGGTGGGCACTGCATGGACAGCTGGGTTTTGTTTTCTGATATCAGAAGAGACTGCAGCTGCTCCATCACTGGAGGTTTTCAAGAAGAGACTGGACATTCATTTGTCCAGAAAGGCATAGGGTCTCCTGCTTGAGCAGGGGGCTGGACTAGAAGACCTCCAAGGTTCCTTCCAACGTTATTATTCTATGTTTATGGTTTGCATCAAGAATAAGAAAACTAAGTGCAAAGGACATACACTAGACTCTGAGGCAACAATCACCGGTGATGCCTTCCTTTGACGCTACACGCAAACATTCTACACACATTTCAGAGAGGAATTTCTCACTCTGCCCAGTCTGAATTCAAGTAAAGTTGCAGCATGAGAAAGGGTTGGTGAGAATGGAACTACATACCCACAATGAGGCCTGTATAGCCATGAGCAGGATCATAAGGGCATTTTTCTTTCCCTTCCTCAAAATGAGACGGTAACACGAATTTGTTGGTATCCTGCAGAAGATGAATAGAAAACACAAACCATTCTTAAGACACAGAACTCTGCCTTGAAGTTTGTGGAATTTTACTATCCCACTGAGGAAGGAAATATGGCACTTCATGTTCTGGGAGCAAGAGAGAAGACAGGAAGGGATTCTTTCTAATCACTTGTATGCTCACTGCAAGATGCCTTTTGGGACAAGGACTCCCATTCTTCCACATACTCACTGTCCTTTTACGATACCCGTACTTCCAGTTAATCAGAATCAATATGGCTAGCTCATTATCCTTCTGTTAGGCTACAAAGATCAGCATTTCCCAGAACTGAGATTACTTCTCTCTCTGCAGGACATGTGCGTTTGGTGGCAGTTTGGTTAGTGCATATAATTGTAACAGTAAACTGTGGTTTAGCACAGAACTGCAGTACCTGGCCTGCATGTGCTCTTCCCCCCCCAAATGTTTGGGTACAACTTCACCCAAGTGAATGACCTTCAACAATTTGGATTCTGGCAGTATATCAATGTGAGAAATTAATAAATAATAAATTTTGTTTCAAATATTTATTTATTTGATTTTATCCTACCTTTATTACTTTATAAGTAATTCAATGTGGCAAACTACACATAAGACTCCTTCTTCCTCCTATTTTCCCCACAACAACAACCTTTTAGGCTAAGAGAGGGTGACTGGTCCAAAGTCACCCAGCCAGTTAATGTGACACAAGAGAAAAAATGTGTTATATATTATCAGAATATAATCCTATTGATTATATTTCATTTTGATTAAATGTTAATTAAAAGAAAGCTTACTTTAGATCTGGTTCTACCTTTTGGAGTATGTCCCTGTCCCCCGAGCTCACAAAAGATGCCACACAAAGGTTCTTGGCTCTGAAATGGTTGCACGATTTTGATTTACCATAATAGGTGAATCCAGTGTAATTTCTACTGGTCAATAAATATGTTTTTCTGCTTTCACAAGAGGCAGATACTTTAGCTCCCAGTTTTTCCACACATTGTTTTTAGTTTTTTCCAGAAGGCAGGTAACTTTGGAAATTGAATCTCCAATGGGAAGATATTCTAGGGGGCCAATCTCCAACGCTCCCAAAGTTTGGTCTGACTCTAGTGGGGAGACACAGTCCTATGTAGCCAACCTGTGAAGAGCTTTACTGGTTAAAACAGCATTTTAAATTGCAACCAGAAAAAATAAAGAGCTGGTCCAAAATTTGCAAAGTAAGTTTAATATGTACTTTGTGGCAAGTACCCATGATTTTTTGTACCAAGCAAGGATTCGGGATTTTTTTTAACGGCAGTCCCATCTTGCAGTAATCAGGGGGTAAGTCTCCTGTTCTAAGACTGCAACTGGTCTCCATCCACTTATCCAGCAGGAACCATGAACCCAGGAGAAGCCTCAAGTTATGGACCTGCTCCTTTATTCCTCTCTTCTGCCCAAACCCAGTATCAAAATTGTTTTTAAAAGTAATGGCAGTTGAAAATCAACCACAAAAATATAATTGGAAATTGGATGATTTCCTGTTTTCTACTCCAGGGGTTTAGAATCATCCTGCTGATTTTGAGCAAAAGCACTAAAGCCCTCCCTATGAACCAGATGGTTGGCCTCAGTTAGCATTAAGCATTAACTAATTAGCATTAGCTACTTGGCCTGAGGAGCTGCACTCAGTGTATGTGGATTGAACGTGACCTAGCTCTGATACATAGCACCAAATGCCTATACCAGACTCTCAATATATCCAAATCATATGTTGTGGCAGATTTACTACTTTGTCTCGACCTACTGACTTAACATACTTTATACCAAACTACTGAATGACATTCGTTTATCATGACTGATAACAGCATGGAATAATCAACCACCATTTAAAAATAAAACACTGTAAAGCAAAAAACAAAAACAAAAACGCAGTCCAAAGACCCAGGTCACATACGCTGCTCTCATCTCCTCTTCAAAATTGTGTGTGTGTGAGGGGGGGAGGAGGGAGGAAAATAATGAAATATGGAAGGGGGGGTAGAATCATACTACTTATACTTAATTTACATTTCTGTCCTGGCCATTTCTTAATACTTTCCTGCCATTTTGAGGGATTATGCCTTTCAACTGCAACTTGGAAACAAGCTCGGGCCTCAGGCAGATGGAGGCCGGAGGGGAGCGAGAGCCACGGCTGCTCGTCTGCGCTCTTCTGCCGCAGATGCCGCAGCTCCACTTGCCTGGCAGGGTGGGGGCACACTCGCGCACGGGGACGCACGTGGGGCTGCTGCCTTACTTTCTGTGCCGGGCTGGGCTGGACTGGGCGCGGAGCCTCCACGCCGCTTCTTCCCCCGCGGACATCTGGAGCGTTCATCTCACCTACCGCTCATCCCGGGGCAGCCAGGTGATATATGCAGGAGCCAGGCAGCTGCGGCCCCCAATTCCCTCTGGCCTCCATCTGCCCAAGGCCTGAGCTTGGCACGCCTAGCTGGCTGGCAACAGGCTGGAGAGCGCCAGATGGTGGCAGCTGCCCTGGGACCAGCGGTAAGTGGGGTGGGCTCTCCCGATGTCCACAGGGGAAGAAGTGGCAAGGAGGCTCTGCGCTCAGCCAGTCCAGCCCAGCCCACCTTGGATGCATGACCGCATAGCGATTTTGTGGCCCCCCCAGTGGCCCGATCCAGGCTCCGGAGGCCTTTTCCAAAGGCCTCCGGAGCCTTGCGTGGCGATTTTGGAAAAGGCCTCCAGAGCCCGGATCAGCCGTGGGGGGGGGGCGCAAAATTGCTCTGCCTATAGATCCGGGCGGCAGAGGCCTTTTCCAGGCCTCCAAGCCCAGATCGGGCTACTGGCGGTCCGCAAAATCGCTCTGCAGGCATACGTGGACTCGCGCTGGCAGCTTCCATTCAAAAAAAGCCCTGCCTCCACCATCCAGCCCGGATCCGCCTAGCTCTTGCAGCTGCTCCCTGATTCCCAGTGCAGAGAGAAAGAGCGAAAGCGCTGGTGCACATGGAGAGGGGGAAGGGATCAGCCCGGCCCTGCCTCCCTCTGGGGCGATGGTGCGCGTGCCCATAGGGACAGCTCTGCGTGCCACCTGTGGCACGCGTGCCATAGGTTCGCCACCACGGGACTAGATCATCACTCATCCTTGTATTATACTTTAAAACAGACTGTATAGATCAATATGAAAACAAAAGATCCAAAAGGATAAAATTCATCTCAGTTTTAAGGGATTATAATTTTTCTTTTTGTGAGACCTACCGAGATCAATTTGACAGTATCTATTAAATCTGCTTCTCATACTGGTAGTTAAAAATAGAGGCAGTGGGAGTATAACAAAGCTTTATTAATTCTTATCAGTAACCTTTTTTGTTATTTGAGATTTGTCTAAGCCTGACCCTATCTCTTTGGGATCTCACAAAACTTTGGATTTAAAAATGCATTCAATTTATTTTCTACATTTGAGAAGTCAAGACCCATTCGTTTTTAATTTCATAATAAACCAATCTGTTGTATTGTTTTTAATGACATTTTAATGAAATTCAGTACATTCTTGGAATCCTTTGTCTGCAGTATTATAGATATTTTGAATCCATATCCTGAATACAGAGATCTGTATCAACAATATAGACTTCAATATAGAAGTGTGTAGTGGGGTGCCCCAGGGCTCTGTTTTGGGCCCAGTGCTCTTCAACATCTTCATCAACGATTTGGACGAGGGGATAGATGGGGAACTCATCAAATTTGCAGACGACACCAAGCTGGCAGGAATAGCCAACAATCCAGAAGACAGGCTTAAGATACAGAAGGATCTGGACAGACTTGAACACTGGGCGCTATCTAACAAAATGAAATTCAATGGTGAAAAAAATACCACTTTACAATGCCTTGGTAAGACCACACTTGGAATACTGCATCCAGTTTTGGTCACCGCAATGTAAAAAAGATGTTGAGACTTTAGAAAGTGTACAAAGAAGAACAACAAAGATGATTAGGGGACTGGAGGCTAAAGCATATAAGGAACGGCTGCTGGAATTGGATATGTCTAGTTTAATGAAGAGAAGGACGAGGGGGGACATGATAGCAGTGTTCCAATATCTTAGGGCAGTGGTTCTCAACCTTTTTAATGCCGCGACCCCCAACCGGTCGTAAGTCGAGGACTAAACCGGTCGTAAGTCGAGGACTAAACCGGTCGTAAGTCGAGGACTACCCAACCGGTCATAAGTCGAGGACTTTCCCTGCCCGGGAGCGCCGCGCATGCGTGGTTCCGCCCCCTGCGCCGGCCGAGGCGTAGCTGGCAAGCGGCAGAGACGGAGCAGGCCAACCACCAGCTGGCCCAGCTCAAGGGAGGTAAGGCACCCGCTGGAAAAGGGGAAAAAAAATGGCGGACAGCCTTGCTTGGCGACCCCCGTGAAATGGTCGATCGACCCCAAATGGGGTCACGACACATAGGTTGAGAACCGCTGTCTTAGGGGCTGCCACAAAGAAGAGGGAGTCAAGCTATTTTCCAAAGCGCCTGAAGGCAGGACAAGAAGCAATGGGTGGAAACTAATCAAGAAGCAACCTAGAACTAAGGAGAAACTTCCTGACAGTTAGAACAATTAACCAGTGGAACAACCTGCCTCCAGAAGCGGTGAATGCTCCAGCACTGGAAGTTTTAAGAAGAGACTGGACAGCCATTTGTCCGAAATGGTATAGGGTTTCCTGCCTGAGCAGGGGGTTGGACTAGATGACCTCCAAGGTCCCTTCCAACTTTACTACTACTACTACTACTACTACTACTACTACTACTACTACTACTATATTATTATTATTACATTAAAGCTAAATAAGCATTATATCTGAGGTTAAATAATCCTTAAAAAGCAAATGTTGATATTTTTTCCTTCAAATGATGGAATGTGAAATTATATACAATCAACCAATAGTAGAAATGTTCCAACAATAGAAACAAGAAATCCTATCACTAGTGACATCTTATTACATGACCTACTTCACTTGGTACAGTAGTTAGAGAGAAAATATAGAGTATTTTCCCAACTATAGCCAATTGTAGTTTGAATGTAGAGAAAGTACCATTTATCTGCAACAGATGTACCAGCTTGAAGAACAATGGATCCAACATAAACAAGAAGCAGCTGAACAGGCCTTCAGCCCCACTTTGCTCTCCATTGCATAAAAGAGCTATTGAACCATTATTTTTACCAACAAAACCTCCTTTATTTGAGTACTAACAAGGATATATCTAAAATTACAGATGTTGATCCCTGTTGTTCCTCGAAAAATCCAAGAATATATATGATACAATTAATAACACTGTGAGATAGGTTAGGCTGGAATATTATGATATGTCCAAGGTAAGCTTCAGGGAGATCTGAACCAAAGTCTCCCAGATCCCACGTCGGTATTTTTTTCTGGACTCCAAATAATAGGATGCATTCCAATATTAATGAAATGAATGCAAACATGAATTTACAGAGACTTAATAAAGGCATACTTATACTTTAATTTCCCTATTCTTTAGGGAAAACAAATAGTCTTCACCATCTTGGTGACTTTCATGGACAACTGGATGAGAATTATTGTAATTATAATTTAACATATAGAAAGGTTGAATTTGACAAAAGTCGATTTTATACAAACAAAATTAAAAGAATGCTCTTCAAAATATTAGTCTAAGGTTAACTGGTTCCTGAAAATCAATAAAAAACAGTGTGGGATAAATTGGCAAGTTCTGCCTTCACTATGGCAAGCCACAAACATAGATTCTCACCCTCCAGATCTTTTCATTCCTTGGCAGGAATTAGCAATAGAAGAGCCAGGACTGCAGACTGAATTATTAACCCGATACCCCTAACAGAATGTACCCACAACCAGTTCTGTATCAAAAAGCTGTTGAACAGAATAATGACTGGGAATATCAGAAACCACTTAATAATAATTCCTTCAAACTCGTTGGAGTTAATTGTTTAATTATGATTTAGTGACTATCACCCTCACCTCACCGCCGATAAGTAAAATGAAAGCCCAGAGCAGTGGTGAAAACACTCACCCCCACTTTTACTTACGATGTAAGCACAGAGTGGGTGGAAGGCATATGTGCCACAGGCATACAGATGGGTTGAATTTAACCTCTGCAAAAGCTTGACGTGATTGTAACACTCTGTCTGCAAAGAGAAAGCAAGAACATAATTTTCATAATATTTCTCGCATGTTTTCTCATTCATTAAAGGTTCGAACAAACTAGTAGCATAACACACCGAGAAAGAGACAAAGGCAATGCACTCACCTTGTTGTTTTTGCCTTTTTTCAAGCATTCTGCTTGCTTCTCAGGAGATGCTTCCCAATTTAACTGCAAAGTAACACAAAATGAGTTCATTATTCTTTCAGCCAACCCAGCACAGGAAACAAGGGTTAATCATGACATTAAAAACAAATTCCATGAAGCTCACAAAACCCGTTTAGAGTTCATATTTGGTCTTGTTCAAAGTAAGTGGATTTAACTAAATATAAAACAGGAGAGTACTAGAGAGTTTTGTAGCCCATTTATTTTTAAAGGTCCTTGACTGAAATGAGGGTTTCAGCTTTTGCTACATAAAGGGAACAGCCAAGTGAAGGAATGGAAAAAATAGCTTCTTTTTATTATTAGAGGGAGTGCCTTCAGGAGCTACTTTCTCATACTGAATAAAAGAGAGCAGGAAGGTAAGTATAAGGGCCCCAAATAAGAGTACAAATATATTATTTCTAGACCTGCAATTTTGACCTTGACCTGGTTATACATCATGCTAAGCCACAATGTACAGGCTGGCTTTCTAAGCGATTGCACTGTTTACAATGCTTTGCCCTGAAATTCATGATGTACTTCAACCATATCATTTGAGTGGTTCTTGACAGCCTTCTGAACATAAATGTTTCATTCTTGCCTTCCTTTTTTTCCTGTATTTTAAACTGTCCATAAAACTTTTTATGCTGTTTCAATCTATATTTGTAATATATATTTTGCCTGCTCTAGACTGCTCGAAATTTCCAATAACAGTTAAATAGCATAAAAATAAAATAAAACATATTCAGTAAAGAACCCAGCTCTTCCCCTTCCTTGGTGAATAATAAGATAAATGAAATCTCAAGTTCATGTGTGTTGCAGAATCCAGATTAACCCCCCCCCAATTTCTATTTCCTTGTGAAGACAGCCTTTGTGTGACAATATTCTGACATAATAGAGGCAATGTGTACAGAACATTGCACCTTAGTTATCTTTTTATTGCCATGTTACTATGCCTAAAATGTATATGTGTGTATATATATATATATATATATATAATGTGTGTGTGTGTATGTATATGTATGTGTGTGTGTGTGTGTGTGTGTGTGTACATTTAGATATATATAAAAAAATGGACAAGAAACAGTTAAAAAAAGATAATAAGCACAATAATATATAATCTCCTTCCTGAAATGATACATACTAAAATATCAACCAATGCAATTCTACATAAAATAATAAAAAATAAATAATCTATTCTAAAAAGGCCAGGGGGAAAAATTCTCTGCATCAGTTTTCCACACATATCTTTCTCCTATAACCTAAATTTAGAGAGAAAGGAGGGGGATTTGTTCCTAGTTAAAGCAGAAACTGAATTGCACAGGTTTGATTGGCCAACTCTCAATCAGTCATGGATACCTCCCTAATCAAAGCAGATTTCAAATTTAAATTGAAAGAAAAAATATTTCAGGCAATAAAAAATGGAAGAAACTGTAAAAAATAAAGTACTCAACCCTTCTGAAGTATAAACTGTGATATGTATGCATTGCTCTTGAGGCTATCTGAAGAACACACACACACGCGCACACACACACACACACACACACACACACAAAATGTGCATTTACCAAGGGAAAGACAGCAGGCATGGCAAATGGATAAGATACTTACTTTCTGATAGGAGCCATCAGAGATGTCCCTGGAACTTAAGGAGAAGATTGCCCCCCTGGCTCCCACATACAGAATTCCCTTCTCTTCTTCCAGTAAGAGGGTGGTATAATTCTGGACACTGTTGTTAAAACGCCTTGGATATTTCAAAGCTAAGGAGAAAAAGAAAGAACTTTTATAAACAAGAACACAGAGACATTTGACACCTTAAAACGTTACTAATATCCTGGGTATTATATTGCTGGACTGAAGTAAACCAATGAGGCATGAATTTCTATGGAGCAAGCATATTAATTCTTACATTGCTATTCAAAATATGCATAACATCCTTCAAACAGATTTTTAGATATAATGTTAACAAATCTAGATTAGTTGCCAGTTTACTTCACGTGTGATTCAAGGTGCTGGTTATGACCTTACCTAAAGCTCAACATGGCATAGAGCTGGTAATTTGAGGGAGCGCTTATCTCCATAGGATCTACCTGTCAGATTCAAGTTGGTGCACCATGCGTCTAACTCTATACAATAAAAAATATCATTATCAGGATCCAGAAAGCAGAATTTTTCTGTGTTCTGGACAGCAACAATGACCTGATAATTTGCCTTATGCAATTCTGAACAATTATTTTAAGCATTGTATAAAGCTACAAGACATCACAAGCAATTACTGATTTTTAAGTACAGGTACTATTGGAGTCATTCCTCCAAATAAGTTTTTCCAAGAACCTCAGATCATTCAGCAAGTATTCAACATCTTAACACAACAAATCTCATCTCACATAGACACTCATCAGACTCAAGAATTATTGCTCACAAACATTTCAATTCATGTGGTTTTTAAACAATTTTTATTGATTTTGTAAGTTTTTTCTTAACAGTGGTTCCTCTCCACTTTATGTCCGTGCTACTAAAAGGAAAAAGCTTATACACCTTCAAGTAAATAACTGCTTTACAACAAAGCTTCAAAGAAATACTGGCTGCTTAGCCTATCAAATTTTGCAGCAACGATAGCAAAAAAGCTTGTGGTACTACAGCAATTAATACATTTATTACTCCTTAAGGTTTTGCAGATCACTTCATCAGCTGCACTGAGTCTTAAGAAAGCAGCATTATAGATACAGACAGGCAAACATACACAAATATACTTAAGCAAGAGCTGCTGGGGGGGGTGTAGAATGAAAGAAAGGAGAATAGTGGAAAGAGAGGTGAGAGACAAAGTAGACAATAACTGTTAACAATGTGATACTGTAGTTAGGTGTGACACAAACATCCTTGCATTAATGAGCTGGTTAACTATGTGATTAAAGGCTGCTGTTTAATATGTAAGAAATGGTGCTGAATTTTCTAATAAATTGTAAATCAACTGTTCTATAATCTAAATTGATCTTTTTCATTCCTCTGATCTATTAATGAAAGCATATGCCAGGCAGTTTTCCTTTTGGTCTTTGAATGTTGCCATTTCTGCTTATATCATCCTGAAGGAAGAATAAGTGCCTGTTCCCTAATTTGCGAGTATTCTTGGGTTTGATGATAAAACTGCCAGAAGAGATGAAGGAGCTTCTAGGTCTGAAACAAGATTTGAGTCATGTTTTAGGTGTGATCTGTTGTGGATTAATAGTTGTTCCAGGCTGGGTGAATATCTGTAAACTAATACAAGCTTACTACCAAAGCATGGCTGTTAATCACAATTATTTCAGCTTCCCCATAAATACGTTGTTCCCTAGATCATCTGAACCACTAAAAGTGCAATTTTATACATGTCTATTATACAATACTGTACTTGCTGCCAAGAAATTGGTCACAAGGTTGCAGTGTAAGGTTTTCATATACTTCACTGTTTTCTAAAGAAAAATGCTACAAGGATTAAAAAAATTTGAATATATGATTATACATAACAAAGAAATGGAGCTCACTTATTATTTTGCAACATAACTTACTTCACAGGATTTCTGTGAGGATAATAATAGACGAGACTAATATGTGTGCTGCCTTGAACTCCAAGTAGAAAGACAGGATATGTGAAATAATTACATGTATAGAGGTAGTCCTCAACTTACAACAGTTCATTTAGTGACCGTTCAAAGTTACAGCGGCACTGAAAGAAGATGACTTATGACCATTTTTCAAAGTTATAACCTTTGCAGCCTTCTCCATGGTCATGTGATCAAAATTCAGATAGTTCATATTTATGACGGTCTCAGTGTCCTGGGGTCATGCAATCACCTTTTGCGACCTTCTGACAAGCCAAGTCAATGGGAAAGCCAGATTCACTTAACAACAGGGTTACTAACTTAACTGCAGTGATTCACTTAACAACTGTGATAAGAAATATAATAAAATGGGGCAAAACTCACTTAACAAATGTCTCACTTAACAACAGAAATGAGGTGCTCAATTGTGGTCGTAAGTTGAGGACTACCTGTAATTTCTAAGCCCTAAATTAAGAGAAAAGGTGATTTAAAAAATCAGATGCATAGACTTCATTATAAAATGATTTCTTTTTACACAAAATCAAATCCCATAATGTTTGATATTGATATGTTGTAGAAATGTTGCAGTTTTGCTACCTTTAATAGTTACTCTATATATCTTTAATCGGGAGCAAATTCTGTTAGAACTTATAGAACTCAATTTTAAGCAATTTCACCCATTATTAACCATGATTTGTTCACTAATCCATGACGTCTAGCTTGAAAATGAATACAGGTAGTCCTCGGCTTATGACAATTCATTTAGTGACTGCTTAAAATCATAGTGGTAGTGAAAAAAGTGACTTATTTTTCACACTTATGACCATTGCAGCATTCCCATGGTCACATAATCAAAATTCAAATGCTTGATAACTGACTCATATTTATGACGGTTGCATAAATATGTACCTGAGTCATATAATCATCTTTTGTGGCCTTCTGACAAGCAAAGTCAATGGGAAAGCCAGATTCATTTAACAACTATGTTACTAACTTAACAACTGCAGTGATTCACTTAACAGCTGTGGCAAGAAAGGTAGTAAAATGGGGCAAAATTCACTTAACAACTGTTTCACTTAGCAACAGAAATTTTGGGCTCGTACCTGTACAAAACTTCAACCATCTTATTCTATACTATTAGCTTAGCATGAGACCCATTTTAAAAGTGACATGACTTGGATTATAACATCAATTTAAATAAATACCCATTTATTTATTCATTAAAAAAGTGGGTTTTGCAGTAGGATTCATAAAAATTGATAAAAACTAAACTTCACCTATTCACAGAATTACAATCCAATAGGAAAAAGGAATGTGGTATAAAAACCACAAGTAAAATCAGTAACTGCTGTAAAGTATTTAAACCAGTGCTTTTTTTCTAAAAAAAAAAAAAAAGTGCCGGAACTCACACACGTCATACAACCCGCCTTGCCTACCCTACAAGGTTCCTTCCAAAAAAGGTGCCGGAACTCCGTTCTGAGCGTTCCATGAGAAAAAAAGTCCTGATTGGAATTTGTCTGCAAAACTACCACTAGGTGACCACTAGATAGAAGCAAAGAGTTTTCCATTTCTCTTTGCTGCTATACAGTAATAATCTGGATGTTTGTACCCTAAATGTGGTAGTTCTAATAATATTGTTTTCTTTGACTAAATGGAATAGAAACTGTTAAGTAGATTTCAGCTTTCCCAACTGAATTCTTTCTGATGGCTCAGAGTAGACTATAAATCCATTATGTCCAGCCAGATGTATGATGGCTGTGAATTACAGCAGCTATATAGCCCCATACTGCAAGGCACCATGTTGAAAAAGCATCCCCAAATTTCTCTGCAGGCATTTAATAAGAGTTACATAGGTGGGTAGCATACCTACTGAATTTTGGCTTAGTATGTCAAAGGGTTATTTTTTATGGCAGCTTTTCAAAACTTGGAACCTTTCAGGTGGAGCTACAATTCCCATGCCACATTCAGTCACCATGTTATCATGCTGGCTACAGTGATGGGATTATCGTTCTATACATCTTCAGGATGCTAGGTTAAGAATGCTGTTCTCTACAATATGAATTAAAACTAATTAAGAGATGGTTCTTCCTTCTTATCAAGACTGTGTTTTTCAATTGGAAAATGTGAGTTTCAGAAACCTTCAGTGTGTGGGTGAATGAAAGGTAGAAAACTGAGTATATGATTGACTTAAAAAAATAAATCTCCATTTCCTCAGACAGCATCAGAAGAAACATTAAACCATATAAATATACTAAGGTAAAACCCAAAGGATTTTATTTCTAACTTGTAAAGTAAAGTACCTAGATTATACTTATTCTAGTGATATTAGATCATATTGCTTTTTAACAAAAGCACCTCCTTTTGACAGAAAACAGTGAATTATCTGCATACCATCTGCTTTCATAGAAAAACTGAAAACACGTGTGAGAACTACAGGCACAAATTTTGCTTGTCTTATAAAATGAACTATTTTGTTCAATTCTAGATGTGTAAAGCTATATTCAGTAATACCTTTCAACAATCATCTTGGCCTCCTCTTCTAAAAAAGGAAAGAAAAAACCCCTTGAGAGAAATGACAAAGAAACAATCATCTTGATTGGGACACAAAGACCTTTGGGAGCCAGCTACCTGCATAATGTGCTATTTATATCACCTAATGTAACCTCCTTCTCAGGCTCTTGTCAGAAAGCAGCTCATACCAGCACTGGCAGTCTAGGAAATAGTTTGAAATGGGGGGTGGGGGGGTGTTTAAAAAACAACAACAATTCTCCAGACTAGCTTCCCTCTGTGAGCTTTGCAAGTGTGGGAAGTTAACCCAGAGAAGGAAATATTAAAAAGGCAGAAAAAAAAATATTGTTCACCAAAAGGATTTTTAAAAGCATTTTTTTGAAAAGCAGAAACCAAACCTGGCCTCATCTCTGCCCAGGGCAGTAGCTAGTCTTATACAAATGCAGATGTGGAACCATCAGAAAGTTGAAGCCAGAGCCATCAAGAAGACAAAGAGAAAATCTGCATACCCCACCCAAGCTCTTAAGAGTCATTAGCCCCATCACCTGGGAAGCAGGAGAGTCATTAGCCCCAACACCTGGGAAGCAGGATATGATAATGGGATTAAACCACAGATATCAAGGCCTAGAAAAACACTCAGAAATATCTTCAAAGTTCATGCCACAGGAACAGGAAACTATCCCAAGCAGGGCTGGGAGGGGGGTATAAAAAGACCCCCTGCCCATGTGCTCACTCTCTTTTCTTCTCCTCTGCTGCTTATCTGTCTTCTGCAATAAACTGTAACCTTCTTCCCAAAGCAGTCGCCATGTTTGCTTATTTATTCCCGGCTTGGATGAACCAGGATGAAGACTTACTTCTAACACAAGTAATTCCAAAAATTCATTTCACAATTACCTTTCCTAAATGTAAACAGTATTTATTGGAAAGGAATAACTTTTTCATCTCCCACCAATACATAATCTCTGACACTTATACTGTAATGAGGGACATAAGAAATTATTTGGGCAAGCAAGATAACCTTGCACAAAATATTGGAAGTTAGTTATTGGATACCATGTATTAGTTCACCAGCATTAGTGATACATTAGTGATTTCTAATATCTAGAATATGGCATTCAGACCACTTTGAAATAGTT